ACTAAGGAAAAGGAAAAAGAAAGGGAATGAAAGAGTGTTGAATTTTTTAAGTTTTGCAGTGCTAGGGAGCAAACCCAGGGGTTTACATTTGATAGCAAAGTGCCCTAACTACTGAGCTATGTCCTCAGATACCTTGATTTACTTTTAAAAAGAGTCATAAATATTTTAGCTAGTTTAGATCTTTGTGTAGCGTTTTGCTTCAGAGCCTCTGGTATAACAAATTTGTGCCATATTCTAAAACAGCTTATGATTTGTGTAACTATTCATTATGTCAGAAAAGAAAGTAGAACTAGACCTTGATAAAGTGAGGAAAGAATAGTTTACTTGATAAAAAGTACTTTAACAATGATTTCTAAAACATTCTTCAACATTCTAATTTTAATGTCCTCTAATTTTAATATAACTTCTAAAACTGTATAGATATTATTATTTTAATATGGAGTAAATCAGAAAAGCTGAGATCTTCAGCAGACAATATAGATGATAAAGTGTTGAATAAGGTAGTAAATTATAGTTTTTTGAAACCACTGGGGAGTGGGGAGAATTAAGCAAAACAGATGGATTTTAAAAAGTTAATGGTAAACATTTATGCACACACACACACACCCCACCCCAAAGAGCTTTGGAGTGATTATAAAATCCCCAAATCCTAACTCAATTCATGTAAATTTGTTGCTGTAGAACTTATTTTATCTTCTCTCCATAAATACATTGTTGATACAAGGATAATATTCTTAGTTTATTGGCTAGAGTTAAGGAACATTTTAGAAGTTCAATTTCCTTTAAAAAAATAAATATCAAGAAGCTATAAATCTCTTACTGCCTTTGTGTAGTTCTTAGATTTCAATGTAGTTATATTCAAATAGAAAACCATAAGAAACTGCAGACAGTTGTAACCTAAAGAGTAAAGGAGTCAATTTCTCACCAAATTCTTTTCTGATGCTTTTCTTTATATATTATTAATCTGTATTTATATTTAACTCCATCTATTAGACCACCTCACACAGCCACAAAATCATTTACAAAGAAGAGGAGAAGCAGACAAGGGTTGATCTTCTTAGGTATTCCCGTGTGTGATGAGGGTTTAGACAACAAACAGCATTTGGCTGCTCTGAAAATGACAGAGACTGTTTGGGGTGGAGGACTTGTGCTTGTTTATGTAAGCTTTCTCCTTAGGAAGATAAAACAACTGAGACAGATTTTTTGAAGTACTTAATTAAAAGCCTCCAGGAATGAGTGCAGGAGAATTACACACCCATAAAAACCTTCCAGTTCCAGGCAAGAGGAAATTTTCTCTGCAGCACTCTGTCCCTGCTCATTTACTGCATCATTCTGACAATACAGTTTTACATAATCTCTAAACAGGGACAAAAAGGGTGAGGAACACTGAGAACAGCGACATAGTTGGGATCTCCCACGTTGTCATTTACTTCCATTTTTCCATTAACAAATGAGGCAGAAAGGTAGTGTTTTAAGATGGCTTTGTCCTCAGTCTGACATGTTAATAACTTACACAGCAAGAGGAAAGCTGTGAAAGCTGCCACTGTCCTCTTATTCTCCCAAAGGATGAGTGTGATTCAGTCATAATGAAGGTTCTTAAATGTTCCTCCCCAAAACCTTTTTCTATCTGGAAAGCCTGGGATCTATAGGAAAGAAAGATAATCACATTTAAGATTCAAGCAGAAAAAGTTTAAATACTACTATTACATTTCCCTCTTTTTTTTGTTTCTGTCTGCCAGCCTTTAGTTCATTATAGAATCTGCTTTCTGATGTTTTGTTCAGAAAACCACAGAAAATTAATAAAAAGAGATTCCTCCAAAATGGAAAATTATTTGCCAACAAATTGGTGACAGTGTTATCTAAATAAGAAAGGATGAAAGTTGAATCTCCTAAAATCACCTAATGGACTTTTATAGAATTATCTGCATTTTGACAGATGCTGGACATAAACTTTGGAGTCCTCAATGATTTTCTTTTATCATAAGATAATCATGTCCTTGGACTTCTCTTGTATCTTAAATCCTTGTTTTCCTTTGTGATTTTCTCCCTTTGTAATTAATAGATCAGAAGAAAATAAGTTGTTTATGTCTACAAGGGATTCTCTGTTTTTTAAAACCAGTTTTGAAATTAAATTTGAAAACCATCTTTCTCCAAATTTTAAACCCCATTTTATTAAGAAAACAGATACTAACCTGATTACCATCTCTTAAAAAGTATCTCATCTCGATGACCTATGAGAAACAAAGACTTTAAGGGCTAGTACAATTTTACTTGAAAAATGTAGCTGATCATAATGGCTACTAATGGGTCTAAAAGCAATCTATTCAAAATGAGAAACTTTACTAGCTGTAGACATTTAGTAGTGAATTAAAATCTGGTGCAAAGAGATCAGGATTGAGGGAATATTTCCATAGGAGCTACTCCAAAAAGCATGAATGACAGATTAAAAAATGAAAAAATAATAAGATCCCATGCAATTCATATAGTATGGCAGGAAAACTGTCTCTAAGTTTCTCAACTGTCAGCCCCAAAAGGTTCTTTATTTTTTTCCCTCAAAAGGTTCTAAACAGAATTCATAATATAAGCAAAGCATTTGACTCTTACAATAGTACAGTTATTCCTTTAAGAGGAGTCTGTGTGATTCAGTGAGCTGCCACATCCCTATAGTAAAGTGACAAATTACTTATTTCCTTACTGTAGACAAATTATGTAAAATCAGAAACACTCAATTATCTTCCTTTTATATTTCCTCTGTACCCTTAAATCTATAGCTTTAGAACTGTTTATATCTGGTCAATAGAAGAAATAAGTTAAAGCAATGGATGTATCTTAATAAATCCATCATTTCTACTGGAAAGAAATGCTAAAAATACACATTCTAATGGAATGAGTTTAAGAGCACCATGTTTTCAGATGATAAACAGTATTTAATAGAAGTGAATTTTATTCTAAGACTTGAGAAACACTGCAATGATTGCAGGCGCAGTGTTATTTTTTGTCTCACAGACCAGCTGAGATAAGGAAGTTAATCAGCTAAGAATACAGATTAGCTGGAGATAAACTTGAAGGCATTCAAACCCAAAATGATGAAGATAAGAATTCTACTGAAGGAGAGCAAGGCATGTTTTTCCAGGCCTGTACCAGGTTGCTTTCACTGGCATGAAAGCCAAAATATCTACATCCTTTCTATCTTGGAGACTATAATTCAGTTACTTCAAGCCACAAGAGACCCAGGGCAAACTGGCCTCAGAGGTAGGAAAGTTGCTTCCTGATTGGTATACATTTCAAAACACTTGACCCCACAAAAAGGACGACAGGAAAATCGTATTCTAGAGTGGAATTACTTCTAATCAAGGATGTCTGGAGTAGGAATTATACTCTTTACACTAACTTGTAGATTTGCTAAACAGAAAAAAGGGGAAAACTTAACTGGTTAGTTGCCTGTTTTAGGCTACCACCTTAGTCTGGAGGGCTAGCCCACCTCCTTGTTCACAAATATTTTGCTGAGATTTAGGTAACAGAGAAGTTATCTTTTTGCTTTTGCTAAAAATCCCCTTTACCACTAATTTACAGAGCCTCTATCTTGCTGCCTTATGACCAGCCAAATTATTTCTCCTCTAAAAAAATAAAGTCCTGCTTGACAAGATGGATTAGGTTAGTCCATACCTCCCTGTTACTCTAGCATATAACTTACTATATCTTTTAAATTTCAAAATCAATAATTTAAAAAAAGTAAACAATATACTGTAGAACCTTTCCAGATCAGACACAACTATATAGGATGCTGCTCTTATGGGATAGAATCTTGCAGGAATAGGAGGCAGTTAAAGATCTAAACCAAATGGAAGTTACTACACTTTAAATTTGAAAACAATGTGGAGAAAAAAATCATGTTTTTTGTAGTGTTTCCCAATATTTTTCATGTTGTGGTGTCCCAATTTGGAGAGCAATAATGGCACACTTAGAAAAAGCCAGTATATACATATGTGAGGTAAATGACCCTGGTTCTCCTTGTGCAGGGATCTTGAGGCTCTGAGAACAGAAGAAATCATATCTGGGTACACCTATACCCTACTTGTCAGTTAAAAAGTTCTGCAGCAAAAACTTCCTACTGGGCTAATATTAACCAGGTACAGAACTGTGGTTTATTTATGTGTTGATATATTGAACCAAAGGGCCAAATATTAGATCCATAAATAGTTAAAAGAAAAAGGGTTCATAAAGAATAGCTATAGAAAGGGAAATGCTTTTCTTAGACTATACTTGAAAAACATACAAATTAATCTCCAATAATATACACAGAGAAACATCCGATTTTACTTTATTATGGTAAGGAATGTCAACACTGGGCAAATAACTTAAACTTGGTCAATACTATGTGCAATAAAGTTATATGGTCTTGTGCAAGAAAAGCAAAAGATGTCCTAAGTTACGGTGTGCTGAGTCATTCTACATTTTCATTCTAGTTCAGTGACGACAAGATGATGTAAACAAAACAAACAAAAAAAAGATGATGTGAACAGAGTCAATAAAAGGAATACAAAGGTTTCTGATAGGGAAACATTACAGAATCAGGAAAATGATAAAATCTTACAAAGAAATAATATTGTTTATGTATAAAATATTAATAGCTGACAGAACAAAAAGAATCAAGGCTTTAAATATATCCTTTCTAGTTCAGTGCCTTTTGAAAATTGGAAGGTGTGAACAAGTACTAAAACAGCTAGAAAACAGGTAAATATAAATTGTTTTAAGAAATTAGGTATCCTTTAAAAACTCAGACTTAAATTCAGTATTTTTCACCCTTTGCTGAAAAGACAGGGGATGAAATAAATATATCAGCAAGCTTTGAGCAGTGATCTTAACAGATAAGAGATCAAAACAGTTATTATTAAGGTTGTGATGTTTTGGATGAAGGAATAAAAGGACAGCATTCTACAAAGAGTTTAAACCATAATATATAAATTAAGTTTAAAAAATAACTTAATTGAAGTTATTACCTTGTCAAAAAACCTACTGAGTTTGACAGCATTGGAAGAACCTGCAGCTAAGTACCGTGGATTTGTGCAATCCTAGAAAACATAAGATCCAGAAATAAAAGTTAGGACTATAACTGCTCTTTGTGCACAACTCAGAACAATTCACAGTGATATATGTGCATCCATGTTTATAGCAATACAATTTGTATTATGGTTTGTGTTTGGTATCCCCCCAAGTCTCTTGCAATCACAGAGGTGGCTGAATCTAGCATCTGTGATTGGTACATCGTCTAGCGCTGGGATTGGTGGTGTGAGCGCTGCACCGACCAAGGGTGGAGCTGGCATACAAAATAAGGGAGGGAAGAAGGTGTGTATTCCTCTCTTTCGACCTGTATGCTCTTGCTGTTTGTGGTTGCCATGAACAGTTGCCCCTCAGCCACATCATACTGCCTTGGAGCCAGCTGAGTATGGACTACAAATTTCAAAACTGTAAGATAATTAAACCTTTCCTTCCCTAATTTTGGATGTCAGGTATTTTGTCTCAAGGATGAGAGAAAAGTAGCCAAGACAATTTGTAATAGCCAAATCTTGGAAACAATACAAATGCTTTTCAAATGAGGAATAGAAAAAGATGTGGTATTTTTATACAATAGAGTACTACTCAACTATGAAGAAGGATTGCATCGAGGCTTTTATAGGTAAATGGACACTACTAGAGACCACACTCATAGATAAAATAAACCCATTTCACATGTGTAAATACCATATTGTTTCCCTAGTGTAAGAAACTGAAAGAGCAAATAAGATCCAAAATCTACAATAAATATTATATAAGGGTAAGAAACTGCTCAAAGAGGAAAAGTAACTGGGATAGGGGAAAGGAGGAAAGAAGGAAGGGAAAAGGAAAAAGATGTAAATTTGTGTAGATACATAAGACAGCTAAGATGACTGTACTACTAATTCTATAAGTTCTTGGAAAAAAGTTAATATACAATTAGAACACCTTTGCATGCCTATATCTGGTAATCTGAGCAACCCTTGTCAAGATAACTATATGCAATGTAACAACCATTGGTCAATTCCTAAAATCTTTTTTTGCAAGCATATATTGTTATTGTTTTGGATTTGTCATTGTTTGTTTGTCTCTTTTGCTTTTTGTTTTTCTTTTGTTTTTTTTCTCTTTTAAATAAAAAAAAAAAACCAATTGAGTACTCTCATAAGACACTCAAAGAATTTTCTAAAATTGTGATGCAGAATACCAACAGAAAAGTACCAGAAGAAGATAAGATCATTAATTCTTTGCCACTTAAGCAATTTTAAAGTACAATGACTCAGTGTACTCCTTATGAAATAATTCATAAGAGAAGACAGAAGTGCTAGTAATTTACTTACCATAGAATAAAAGTCCTAATCAGGCAATCTATTTACATTTACCTTTCCAAACCAGAAACAAAGCCAATACAAACACTTCATTTTTTAAATATTACACATTCAAATAATTAAGTACTATGCAATTCATATCATAGTAAGCAGTGAAGAGGAGCAAAACAAAGAGAATAGATGCCAAGCATTTCTCTTTTTGTGAGTCGTGAAGATTTACTGTTTTTCATAATAATAAGCAAGAAGTGCAGTACTATTATTTAATATAGTAATTCTATTTAAAATTTTAAAAGGTGGGGTCCAGAAGACAGAAAACAATCCGTAACATTAAAACAAAATAACTTGTAAAAATCTTAAAAAGGTTTACTATCCTCCTGGGATTCCAGTGTTGCAAGGTCTCTGCTTACCTTTCACTTGCCATCTCAAGAAACAGAGTTTGCATGGATATTTTATTGCAAATCCTACCTTAGAGCAGATTTTGAGGATGTCAGGAAGCTCTTTTCCAAAAATATTTATCTTTTACCTAGAGACTCTCTGTGACCCTTGAGAAATTGTTGTACTTATTCTGTTCCTTTCCTATGTGATTCCTTTCCAATGAATTTAATAATAACTCCCTATTTTACCCATATTCAAAATTGCAAGGATCACAGTGTAAGTTTTGGCCAGAAACTAAGACATTCTCCAAAACTACATACACAAGGGCTAGGGATTTAGCTCAGTGGCATAAGCGCCTGCCTTGCAAGCACACAGTCATGAGTTCAATCCCCAGTAACCAAAAAAAAAAAAAAAAAAAAAAAAAAAATGCCTATACAAAACTACATACACAGAGTAAGTGGCCACACAGAGAGACTATGCTAAATTTTTTAAAGGTAAAAAGGTACTAGCAAAATCAGCAAGCTCTGTATTTGCGGATCTATACCAACATTTGTAGACTGTGTAACACTGATTATGTTTCTAAACTGGGATTACTCACTTATTAAACAAGTATAATAATATCCCATATGATTTTTGTGAAGATTAAATGAAATAATGCATGTCTGGGACTTAACAAATACGGGAATATTAGCTCCTTTCTCCATTCTAAGAAAATACTATCACAAAAGTATCTAACACAATAAAGATAATTCTATATATGGGCTAAATACATGGAAACACCGCTATATATACTGTTGGTTTTGAAATAATATGTGAACACCTTGTATAGTAGTTGGGCATATAAATAACAAACTTTCGACTGCATTAGATATGTTCTACAAAGTAGATATTAGCTACTTAGAATGTCAGAGATGATTCTAAATAGTTAAATTGTTAAATACAAAAGCCAAATCAACAGTACCCTTTCCTACCCCCCTAAAAAACCCTGACTTAATTGTGGGGCTTTATAATTTCCAGCTGACCTATGTATCTAACGCTCTTCTTTCTATGAAAATTTTAGAGATGAAAGAGCCACCTGCTATTGATCACAAATGCTGAAAGCTAGTATCTCTAAAAGCCTGTCTAAGCTTAAGAAGTATTTTCCCATTAACTAGGGAAAATACTATTAACACTCTGAATAAACACATGACAGACACAACTTTTCCTAACATCATAAGCCTAATACCATTTTTAAGAAGTAATATTTTACCTACTTACAATTAGGACAATTTTACATTTACTCAGGTGTCCAAGAGTCAGTATACATCCACTGCAGTCTTGACTACATCATAGACTAGAACCCCAATATTCTGACTTTGAATATAAAGCTTCATTCAATATAAATCTTTGGGTTTGCTTTTACCTGATAATAATCAAACACATATTAATGAAAATACACACCAAATTAATCTCTTCTGCATTGAAATCCTCAGCCAGGAAAGCAGTTCTAGTTAAAACTTCATGGCGCTTGGTTTCATGAATCTGGTCCAGTTTAGTCCCTATTACCAACAGTGGGATTTGGTTATCAGCAAACTTTTCCTGATCATAATCCCTGCAGTAAATGATAACGAAGAGGTGAATATAATTTACGTTTCCAATGAGATGTATAATACTTAAATGCAAGTAACTTACACTGTTTTACTGATGATTGCTTGCTCACTCATCACGTATAAATTCATTTTTCTCTCAATTTCTTCCACCTACTTGTTCATTTGTCAACCCACTAGTAACATCTGTTGAGTTCTAACTATTCACCTATTTAAAATTTGTTCTCATGTGTTGTTCGAACAGACTACTTGACAACTGAGTGCCCAATAAGTACACCAACCTCACGTGTCCTGGCTTTCCTCAAAGTTCTGTCTTGCAAGGCTAATAGCTCAGAATTTATTCAGTGTATTAAAAGAGAACAGATTGAAACCTCAGTGCAGAGAAACAGATTGAAACCTCAGTGGGAGCCTTGTGTGACACTCAGATCTCCTGTTAGGACTAACAAGTTTCTGGATACCTTTTGGGCCTTGTACGTTCTATATCATACACATTTCTATCTAGAAGTTTAAAAAAACAGATCATTTCAGGAAAAGAATAAATGCGGATGGTAAGACCTGGAATATATTGGATATCGGGGTACTATAACCTGGAAATCAAACAAATGGAAATGAAAGGATATAGCTGAAATACAAAATAATAGTAAAAGGAAAGGACTTAGTAACAGTGTTTGTCCTGACATGAGAATCATGGGAGACAGAGGAAAGACAATTAGAGTTATTTAGGTTAATTCCTTGGGTCACTGGGTATTATAATCTTTTTCTGTATTTACCTAAAGGTCAGAGAGGTGACATAGATAATATTTATTATCAAAACAAACATAAAATCCATTATTATTTAGTTAATCTAAATTCCATTCACATATTGGATTTGGATTCACAGATTTTGATTTCTGACACATTATGAACTCACTTTACAACAGTCAGCAAAATCTGCTTTTGAACAAGCTATAACAATAAATCAATATTGCATACTATAATAATCCAGTTGGGCATAGTTTTTCTTTTGTGTTTCATATTATTTTACTTTCTTTTTGAGTAATCAAATTTGGAGTGAGGACGATGGTAGGCAGTATTACTAGGTCTTTATGTCCCTTACAATAATTTTAGAACATTAGCTACAATTCAGTCTTAAAACACAATTTTTTAAATTATGTAATTGCCTGTCTCATAAAAATATTATGTTTAGTGCATCAAAGGCAATAATAGCTCATGATCAAGACTTTTGATGTTTCTTACCAACATCGACACTATTACGAGACATAATCCCAAAAGGGAAATTTGATTTAATTAAAGAATGAATCTTTCAGATTATGTTCTTTTAAAATTCTCTCTTTCTCTTATATTCACCAATTCAACCCCATGAAACTTTTTGTATATTTTCTATCAAATAGCCTCCTGGGTATGAACACAAGTCTTGCATACTCTCTTGCACATTAACATATATAAAGCAAACACAGTCTGTTCTGTTTTCAGCTTTCCTTTCTTCTCATTTCCTTTCATAAAGTCTTGAAATTTGACCTTGAAATCTTTTTTTTCAAACCACTAAGTGAAAAAGTGATGGAGAATTTTATCCTGGATGGATAAGGCTGATAAGTTCTTAAAATCATAATAAGACAGACAACCAGGTATCATATGGACAGTGTCGTTTTTGGAAAACAAAATAAAAAATACCCTGCAATTTTTAGATCATTATATTTAACTGCCATTGAGAGAAAATGTAAGATTCAGGGAGCAAGTTTAAGAGACACTACAGGAATATATAATTAGCAAACTCCAAGCTCAGGAAAGTATACAGAAAAAAAAGAGTCATTTTCTTCTGCAAATAAATGCTAGGTATCCCCCTTCATCTCTTTTAAAGAAGGGGATTAAAAGAAATTTAAGAAATCAAATACAGTGAGTGGAACCTTTTTAGATCCCTTTCTGAACATAGAAAATACATCCCATGAAATAATTGGGGAAGTTAACCCATTTATGCCAAATACTGAAATTTTTTGAAATTTTGCACGAAATTCATATATGTTAACCTAGAAAAATTCAAGGAACAAAAATGTGAAGAGAATACATTTCATTATGTCCATTGTTATAGGTGTTTCAAAAATAGATCACTACACATTGAAGGGTTAACATAACATTTGATTATTAGAGCATTATTGTTAAATTTTCAAGACTGATATTTATATGTCATTGTTCTTTGTATTACACATTAAAGTATATACGAAATTAAATGATATGGTATCTAATATTTGCTTCAAAATAATCCATTTAGGGGTGAGAGAAAGTAGGGCGTGGGTGGAGATCTGGATGAAACAAGACTGGTTGTATGTTGATAATTATTGAAGCTGGGTGACCATTACACAGAGGTTCATTTTCTATTCTTTATACTTAGGTATGTTCAAATATATAACACATTAAAAAACTTAAAATTTAGTTAAGTTTTTAAAAATGACTCCAAATTTGGCTGATAAAAAAGATATATGCTAATCAGTCTTGTTTTTATCCTGGTTCCCATCCACTTATTTCTCCTGACCCCTAGGAGGAAAATCACTTTTATTACTAGTTATTCATTTATCCTTTTACTGATTTTTTTATACAAATATAAATACATATTTTTATTTCTCCTGTTTCTTCTATAATAAGAGCTATATATTTTCTGTATCTTATTTTTAAAATTTTTAATTAGTAGCACCTATTTGTTATACAAAATGGTGGTTTTCATTTTGGTATATTTACACATGTATAAACTTGCATCACTCCCCCTCTGTGTACTCCCTTGACCTTCCCTCCTGATGCCTCCATCTCCTTTTTCTCTAGTAGTCTGTTCTGCTTTCTATCATCTGTTTACTGTCTATCTATTAGATTTAACATATGAGAGAAAACATGAGATACTTATCTATCTTAGTCTGGCTTATTTCTATTTTCCTGCAAATGATATAATTTCTTTTTTTATGCTAAATAATATTCCACTGTGCACTTTGAATATTTAAACCTAACAATATATCCTTGATAAAGCTCTGTATTTTATAACTCATAGAGAGTTTACAAGCAATTGAACAGTACTCCAGTATGTAGTCATGCCATTATTTAAAGAATCTTACGTTGGTGGACTCTAGCCTTGTTTCTCAATCTTTTGCTGTTATAATGCACTACTGCAGCACCAGTGTATTATTTTGTCTTATACATCTGTAGGTTCTCTATAGGAGTAAAACAAAACTACAGGGTCAAAATGTAAATGTATCTATAATTTTTACTGCCACCTGGAATTTTCTGACATTAATGTAAATTTCTTCCTGGTATGAATATACTGTCTCCTGCTCTTAAATTTAAAAATAAATTTCCTGAGTAACCATACAAAAAAATCAATGAAAACAAAATCTTCTTGGAAGAAATCAATAAATTGACAAACTGCTATAACTTGGACAAAGGAAAAAAAAGGAGACAACCAAAAGCTGGAGTGAAAAGAGGTATAATACTATAGATAGCAAAGGATGATAAGCAAATACTATGCACAAGTCTATTTAACATAAATTTAACAACTTAGGTGAATTCCTCAAAGAACAAAAATTACCAAATCTTATCTTAGATGAAATGGACAGTCCTATAATTACTAATGAAATTGAATTTAAAGTTATAAACCTTTCAAATAAGAAATATGCAGGCTCAAATAGCCTCATTAGTAAATTATTTTGAATACACAAAGAACATCAAATATACATAATCTCTTCTAGAGAACAAGAATAGTACGAGATACCGTCGAATTACTATAGGTAAATATTATCTTCAAACTAAAACAAGTGCAAGACTTGTTTTTGATAAGAATCAAAAACTAAAACCAATATTCTGCAAGAATACAGAAAAAAAATCCTCAAGGAAATATGAGTAAATTAAACCCAACCAAAAAATGACCACAGGATGGAAAAATGGTTCAATATTTGAAAATCACTCAATGTGGGGCCACTCTGATCCCTTTTGTCATAGTGTGAACCTACTTAAACTAGTCCTTTCCTATTTTTACTGCTGTTCTTTGTTCTTAGCTGGCCTGGTCTTTGCCAACTCTTTAAGTTAGTCTTTTATCTTTTTATATTTTAGCTTTTTATATGAAAAAAATGAACAAAATTTAAAACAAAATAATAGGAGAGTAACAATAGTTAATATATCATGTATTGCTATCTTTAAAGATATGGGTATACTTTTTCATTACTGCTTTTTCCTGTAAATATATGCTTTAGTTTTAATTTCCATTATTATAAAAAGCAAGGATCACGTTAGGCAGTGACAAATTTTGTTTTTGTTTTTGTTTTTGTTTTTTATAGCAAATATGTTTATTTTGCATGCCACTATCAGTCAACAGGATGTGGCTCTCTACATAGCTGTTATTTAGAAGAAATCTGAGGCTTTAACCTCACTCAGGGAAAGGACTATTGCAACATCTATCCAATGCTTCACTCGACCCAGAAGAAACCAATGGCACTGAAGTTGGCAGTGGATGTACCACCAGGACCAATAATAGGACCAGCGAAGGTCTGAGGAATTGTGGAGTGGCCATTCTGGTTGTATCTAGGCCAGAAGGTAAATGGGATTCTGGACCAGGGATCATCAAAATCTCCTTCCTCATCCCAAGTCAGCAGCTCAAACTCGATGTCATCCCAGCTCCAAGGCCCAGACACAGCCTCATCTCCAATGCCCATGCGGGTTCTTGCTTCAGCCCGGGCTTCAGCCTCAGCCGAAGCAGCATCCATAGCATCCAAGGCCTCCTGTGCAGCCTCCATGAACTGTGCAGTCCAGACACGAGGGTCTTTCCTCTGAACCTCTGCAATGAACCTTAACACTTTCATCTTGCTAGTCTCATGGTAGGAACGGAGGCCCCAGAGGAACTCATACTCAGGAGGGTGACTGTTGGGCACTCGTCTGTATTCCAGGTATTTCTGCTTTACAAACTCGTAAGTAAGAAGTTTTCTCAGATCTCCAAGGAGAGGATGTCTCACCCCAGGACGCAGTCCCATCTTGCGTAGTGCCTCCCAGAGGACAGCCTCACTGGCACGATTGTCATTCATGAAGATGACACCCAGTATCACTAAGAGGAGACCCAGCTTGGGTATGTCTTTGGTTGTTGCCAGTATGCCAGCCAGGGATTCAGGGGTACTGATGAGAATGTATAGGTGTTCTTCCTTGTCAATTTCTTTCAGTTGTATCCCAAATTTCTTCTCCAAGACAAAAGATGCACGTTCAATGATTTCTGGATAAACATCAGTGTATTCTCGGATAATATCCCTCAGCATTTCTGAGCGCCTGATGGGCACCTTTGTGTAGTCTTTAAGCATCAGGTACTTGACTAACTTATTTGCTCTTTCCTGAAGAAGGGCCACATCTCGGGGCTGTGAGGCACTCATGTTCTGTGAGGCACATGAGTTGGGGGAGGGTTCGAGGTTAGGTGAGGGCCGCAGGTTCTGCCAGTCAGGTAGAATTGGCCAATCTGCAGGGATCCGGTCAGGTGGAAGTGGCCAGTCAGTGGGAAGTGGCCAATCAGGTGGCAGTGGCCAGTCAGGAGGTAATGGCCAATCAGAAGGGCCTTGCCAGTCTGGAGGGCCCTGCCAGCCTGGTGTGTTCTGCCATCCAGGTTGAGTATGCCATCCAGGCGGATTCTGCCAAGCCATTGGGTTTGGCCAGACAACTGGGCCAGGCCAAACAAAAGTATGTGGCCATATAACTGGGCCAGGCCAAACAATGGGGCTTGGCCATATCATTGGATTCTGCCATGCAACTAGGTTCTGCCAGGATGATGGAGACTGACTAGCTGGGGGGTTCTGACGTGTTGGTGGAGTCTGCCCAGCTGTTTGGTTTTGCCAGCCAGAGGGGTTCTGCCAAGCCAGTGGGGTCTGCCAGAGCATATTAGGGGGTACACCAGGTGGGTTTTGAGTGGTCACTGGAACTGGTGCAGACCTCCAGGTCCCAGCAGCCAACGGGGCCCGCATCTGATCACCACAGATGTTCTCTTCCACATTCAAGTTATTAATCTTGTGCGTCCTCTTGCCATGAATGATAGTCCGGGACTCCAAATTCTGAGCCAGGGAACTATCTGCTGATGTCTGCGCAGCTGCACCATCAGGTTCAAAGATACTTGGGTTGGTCTCTGTGTCTGCCTGGGAAGTGGCCATTTTGGCCCAGTTTACATTTTGACTGTGGGTCTGGGTATCAGCTACAGAGGCCTTAGTGGTATCATTCCAAGCCTTGAAGGCAGTTTTAGGCTGGTCAGTGACCATCTCATTGGCATTAGGAGACCTAGAGAAACTATTGTTGGGATTTGGGCCCACCTTAGTAGTGACATCCTGGGCCTTAAATAAGGTAATCTCAGACTCACTAGTAGCCAATTTACTTCTGGCTGCTGCCTTGGAAAAATCATAGGCAGCATTTGGGCACTTTGGAGTGGCATTCCGGGGCTTAAAGCCTGTCTTAGGTTGGGTATTGCCTATTGCCTTGGCATTACGTGCTTTAGAGAAACTGTAGACACCACGTGAGCCTTTTGTGGTAGCATTCTGGGCTTTAAAGGCTGTTTTAGGCCTTGCAGCAGCTGCTGAAACTTGAATATCCGCCCTCTCACTGGCAGTTGGGGGCTGTGAACACTGGGGACTAGCTGTCTGCCCACTGGCAGCTGCCAGGGCCTGGCTGGTAGGTGGAGCTTCTGAGATCTGGATCGCCTCCATCAATGTCTGCATAAGTAAGGTGCGGTCTTCTACAGAGGCCTCAGCCTGGAAGCCGAGGAGCCCCTCACCACAGTCCATTTTCTGAGCCATGGCTCTGGTATCTCGGGCTAGAAGGGAGCCAACACGAAGAAGGCAGCCACCACAGCATGGGCAGTGACAAATTTTGGTGTTCAATATGAGGCTAGTCCAACCTGCTGAAGGTTTGCCTGCATACCATAATTAACTGAATCGTCACCAGACGCTGGACACAGTGGACTAGAAAAGAGGACCACATGAAGAAACACAAGAGAAAACCTGTATAATCCAGAATTAATTTTAGACAGGATATCAAAAGAATAATTGAGAAAAGTAAGACTTAGACTTTATCAAAATAAAAATCATTTTGTGAAAGATACTGTCAAAAGACAGTGAAGAGACTAGGAGAAAATATTTGCAAATGAAACATTTTACAAAGTAGTATTTCATAAAGTACATTCTGTAATTGCTGTAAGATTTCAAAATAACTGCAAAGTAATTCTAGGCTTACCCATTCATCACCAAGACTCCTGTTGGCACAGAATCCCTATTGAGAACTTCCAGTGACCAACGATACAAGTTTTGAGATGACTTTTTATTTGTTAAGTCATGGACTAAAATTATACCTAAAATCATCAGAGAAAATACTGTCAGTACTGTAGCAACTCCTCTTCTTTTCACAAGTGGCAACATGAAGCTCTGCACAAGTATTAGATGGCTTAATGAATCTAGCATTCTATTATGACTATCAAGCTCAATTATTTTAGGTTTCTTCTACAAACATTTAATTAACTATGCAATTAACTATAAAACTGTCAGTTATATACTTTAAAAATTGTATAAAGGCTGACAAAATGTCATTAAATATTTATGTCATTTTTTACTCTTCATTCAGTATACTTGAGTGCCTACTTCATGCCTGGTCCTACTTAAACAAACACTTTATCAATCAAGAGCATCAGGACTACTTCAATATCATAACATAATCATTCAAAAATTTATTTCTACACCGTATATAGCATGCCACACACACCAATGCAGATATTACTTACACTCACTAAAAATGATACTAATAAAATGACTTATTAGTGATACTTATTAAATGACATTGATGTGGCTATAGCTTTGTAATAAAGCACTTGCCTAGCATGTGAAAGACCCTAGGTTCCATCCCCATCACCAAAAACAAAAAATAAAGACAGATAAGAAAAAATTAAAATGTCATTTACTTAATTTGTACAAATGCTATCCTTTAGCAGGGATAAAATGTCTTGAAGACTAGTTGGGCCTGATAAACTCACTTCAATGTATTTCTCTTTGAATTAATGGCTAACTATATAACCTTGCTACTTATTGAGAGATTTAGATAATAGAGCAAAAGAAACATGGCATTAGAAGAAAGGAGGAAATGTGAATAGTAAAAAAAGTTTTTGAGCGATTGAGAAAAATAACAAAAAGTAACGAGGCTCAGAAATGTAATTAAACAATCAATATCCTAGACAAAGCAGATAAATTATTACAATAAAAGACATCAAAGAATAAAGGCTTTCTGGAATTAAGAGTGTTATTTTGTGGTCAAGAGACCATAGGTTTCACATTCCTGACCTTTCCGTTACTACCCCGATTCTACTGTGAAAACAGAACATGAAATTATGACTCCTCAATCTTGAAATGTGAGATATGACTATCTTTAAAAGAAAGGCAGAAAAACAGAATTACTTGACATCTCTAGTTTTTACCATAACTAAGATGCGTTTGTAAGTTATACTGTAGTTGACTTGTTCCAAGGAACAAGGTAACAAGATAAACCAGGATCTTTCCTGGTATCTGGAAAAACAGGCTGGCATGTGTCCCCACATACAACTGCACCAATTAATAAGGGGTCTGATAGGCATCAAAAGTAGAAATTTTAAAAAAAGAATAAAGACCTACCATGAAAGGAAATACATAATATTTTGTAAGTACTTATGTGCTTTACATCGATTATCTACTTTAATTTTCAGAATGGTCTTATAAGCTTAATAATTATTATCTTCTTTCTACACATGAGGAACTAAGGCTTAGAGAGGTTAACTAACATGCCCTAGGTCACATGGTAGGTAGGATGGCTAGAATTTGTACTCAGGTATTCTGACAGACAGGAGGAAAGCAGAATAAAATCTCATTTTAGGGAAAATATTTTCTTCTCTATTTTCTAGGTATCAATATTACAAAAATAAGAGGAAGACTTTCAGTTGCAGGAGTAAAAGAATTACAAATGCTATTAGATAATAGGCTTTTAGATAAACAAGAAAATTTTATTCTTTTAAGGATCTCTATGTAAGGCTTTTAAACTTTAAAGACATATAAGCAACTTTTCCTAAATCTTTTTTCATTTGTCCTCAGAGTTCTTGAGCTAGAGGAGGGCCCAGTGAAAGGAGTCAGGGTGACAGCCGATTAGAACATGGTATGGGGTGTTGGGGGTTTAGTTTAGCAGGATAAGCGCCTGCCTGCAAGCACGAGGTTGTGAGTTTGATCTCTGGTGCTAAAAAAAAAAAAAAAAAAAAAAGAATATGGTATGTTCTAATTTTAAGGGAGAGAAGCACAGGTATTTCATACAATAAGTCCCCAACTTATAAATGAGTTCCCTTCTGGAAGAATTTTGTAAGTTAGATTCAGCTTAAGTCTGACAACGAGAGTCTTAGACTGTATTTTCAGTTTTTGTTTCCATGGTATTCCTTTGCATTCCCAGCAGTGCTCTCCACATCACCACTGCTTTTCCTCTTGCTTCTGGACATCCTGGGCTCTGCCTAAGCACTGTAGTGCTGTACACTATCACACTGTACAGTAAGCACACAGCAGCACAACTGTGCAATGTCTGGCAGACATGGAAGCTACTTCCGTGATTTGTTTCTGTGATTTGTTCGCATCTATGAATGTTTGCAATGTGAGGCCCATTTGTGTCTGTGAAAGTTCCACAACTTGAATCTTTGTAAGTTGGGGACTTACTGTAGTTTTCTGCTGAGATTATAAGCCTAGCTCAAGAGAATGGAAAGTAGGATACTGAGGGGAAAAAAGTTATTTCTAAGAATAAAGACTAAATTTGAAAGCTGTTTACCTATTATGCTGGTCCTTAGGATAGTAGATAAGGAACCTAGAGTGTTTCTACCAAGGAGAAAGTGTTAGAGTTAGGTGAAAGAAGAATGAAAAAGGTTTTTCAATAAATAATAAGAATTTTTTTAGCTTTAAGAAATAGGAATATATTTTGGTCTTACTAGTAAAATCAAAATAGGATACGTATAATTTTTCCAGTGGCTTAATGGAGGATACAAATCACTAAGAATAGTAAGAATAGAAGAAATAAACAAATGTGAGAGACAATGGCTTTCTTCAGTACTTATAAGTCTGCAATTCAGAATTTTATAATTGGGAGAATTTAGATGGTCTTTATCTGAACTATCTACTTCTAGTTTTTATCTTGTCTCTGCTTAAAAGGTTTGTATATACAGCATATTGGTTCTGTTGTATTTTTGAGACATAGTCTCATTATGTATTCTAGGGTGGTTTTGAACCTACTATGTAGTCAAGGCTACCTCAAACTTGCAGTGAGTCTTCTGCTGGTCTCCTTCCTGAGTGTTGACCCAGCAGAATATATATATTGCTATACAGCCAAATTTTTTTGTGCCAGAGACAGCTGATAATCTGCTTTGACAAGTTACTTTAAAAGTTTTCATGTAGTTAACTCATATGGTATCAGTATAATGTTATTTTTTCTTCATTTATATATACAGTAATATCGTGGTCCATGAATACCTCAGCTCACAAACAACTTGGTTTGTAAACAGAAATGTTTCACAAAATTTTGCTTCTGTTAGCAAACTCTACATTGGGACAAACATGACCATTGTCATCTTCCCCACATGAACACAAATGTGGCCATCTTCTTCAGGATCATGAAATGAACGAAGCACATGCACTGTATTCTATTATTACATTCCTTTATTGGGTACCTTCTTGCATATCAATGGCATATATTATCATCATGTAACTGTGTTTTGTTTCATTTAGGAATGTTTCGTTTTACCAACTTGACTATGACACTTTCAGATAGAATTTGGGCTGAGCCATGGGTCTGAACTAATACAACTCATCATATATTCTATATTATGTATCTAAGAATGCTTTCTACTTATTTTTGTAGTATCCACAACATGTTGTGATACAGGAAACACATTAAAAGAGAAATGTAGGGGGTGGTATATAGCTCAGTGGCACAAGCACTTGCCTGGCAAGTGTAAGGTCCTGAGTTTGATTTCCAGGACCAAAGAGAGAGAGAGAGAGAGAGAGAGAGAGAGAGAGAGAGAGAGAGAGAGACAGAGAGAGAGAGACAGAGAGAGAGACAGAGAGAGAGAGAGAGAGGGAGAGAGGGAGAGAAAGAGAGAGGGAGAAGGAGAGGGAGAGGGAGAGGGAGAATGGAGAGAGACAATCAGAGAGAGAGAAATGTAAAGAAGGTAGGTATTGAATAAATGCAATGCTTATCTAATATTAAATAAATAAGATACAAGTATAACATAAATAAGGTCCTATTAATGGCTACACATTTACCAGAAGAAAACAAAATGCCAAATCTTTTGGAATATTAATCAAACAAGTCAAAAGATTATATTTCATAATAAAAATGTACAAAAATGATTATAAGAAGAAACTATGGTCAAATCACAAAGATGGGCAAATCACAAAGATTCCTTTGACAAGAAATAAGCACTCATGAATTGCAATTATTGCCCTCTATTACACACCTCCATCTGGAAGTATGCTTCAAGTTCTTGAACATTTATTACTGGATAAAATTTCTTCATCTCTAAACACATCCTTAAGCAGCTCCTTACAATTACATTGGACTTTAAGGGGTAGATAAAAAAATCTCTCTCTGAAAGTCAGCCTGAACACTGAGTGGAAAAACAATATTGCTAGTGTTTCGAAATTTCCATGTTTAATGTCAAGTATACTCAAAATATAATAGTTTCTCAGTAGTTTATAATAATGTAGAAAATATAAAAAATATAAATATATTTACACAAATTAGATTTTTACTATTCTGAATCATACAGCTAGAATCTCAAAATATAAATTAGAATGTGATACACAGATTTAAGTAAAGAGTGATAGTGTACTACATCATTAAGAAATTGAGTTTGACATGTCATAGCTATCATAACAGGTGATCTGTATTTCTAGACTATAAAAATGTGGTTGAAATAAAAAATGGCTTACCATTTACAGAGTTGTAAAATACTGTTCTTGTGCTTTTCACACTGCTGGCACTGCCCACAGAGCCTCCAACATCCCATAATTCTATATAATAGGTCTTTTCTTCTGGGGTTCCTTCTTTGTAATCATGAACCTAACAAATCAATGAATTAAAATAATTATAGCCACTAAAATTAAAAAGGACTCTATTCAGTTTAAAGCATGGGCATTGCATATTGGCATCTCACACCATGGCCTCTGATCATCCCTTCTGTCCTTTCTAGCTTATTTTCCTTCCTCCAACTCTAATAACCATGGCCCTAGAAGACCCTATAGTTAACGGATCCAACCAACTTTTATCATTTTTTTCTCCAATGAAAACCTCATTTTTTCATAACTAAGCATGAATTTCATGATTCATCTTTACCATCACTTCTTTGTGTCCCTCTCACATTGTTTTTATTTGACAAAATTTTAACCCTGGTTATATCAACCTTTCTCTCATTCCATGTCTATGAACCAGCTATTGAATGTCCATCTCAAAAAAATACATTCAATGTGACTGAGCTCACCATAAATTCAAATGTGCCTTTGGAACTGTCTTTCCATCAATTCTATACAAAGTTTTGGCAGTTGGGGACCATTTTAGATAAGAGAAGTTAATCCTGTACACTGCAATAAAAGGTACCACTATTTTGCTATATGGCACAGATAACTGATAACATGATTATGACAAATCATCAATAAAAATATAGCCCATGCATTGTTTAGTAAAATGAAATATAAACATTTTAGCAAGATTTTTAAGCTTAACAATTCAAACAAATAACATGCAGTGCTACAAAGCATACATTATCTGTTGTTATGAAAAATGCCAGCCATTCCCATAAGCTTTCTCTGATTCTGCATTCCTTTCTACCCCAAACAAACTAGGGCTGAGTGCTTCCAAAACATCCCATATTTTCACTGACAAAGTGTTCTATTTCTCTAACAGAAATCTTTTCTATTAAACTAATAGTTGGCACAATGTGTTATTATTTATTATTTATCCTTGTAAGCTTGGAAAGCAGCATAATTAAATCCAGGACCTTTATACCAAGCTATATTTCTTATCTTGGTTTGTGGTTGTTTTGAGACAGTTTTTCATTATGTGGCTAAACTGCTGAGCCAAAGATGGACCTGTGATCTTCCTGCTTTAGCCATTTAGAGTCCTGGGATTACAGGCTTGTGCCAACATGCCAGGCGAGGCCCACACCTTCTTAGGGTCATTTACCAAGTCTTTTAGCCTTTGATACATACACACTCCCAAGCCATACTGACTCATTCATCTGCACTCTCCATTACAAAATATCTTCCCTAACCAAATCTTTGCATGTTTTCTATACAGAGTTAGAAAATATTCTCCTTTTAAAAAAAATTTTATTTAAGGAGAAAAGAAAAAAAAAAAAAACAGAAAAAAGGTACAAGTTTTATAGAATTTCAAAAAAAATAAACAAGAAATCACTAGTTAATAGATTACATATTATCATCTTAGAAATAGTTGTTCAAGTTACAATATTAAAGCATAAAAAGTGGACATTCAAACAGTGAGACTGCAAACAGTTCTGTTCAATGATCCAACAAAAACTCAGTAATATGGTTATCTATCTTATATGCTTAAATATACATGCAGTTATATCCTTTAGAGCATTTTCTTCACCTCTCTTTTTTACACTGACAATTACACATTTTGGGTTTCATTACTCCCACAGTTCTTATTACTTTTTTTTGAGAGAATAAAACCAAATGTGACACAACAAAACAGAGTCAGTCAAATCAAAAGGATGGACATAGTACATAATGTAAAAACAGAATACAAGGTGATCAACAATGGTTACCATAATGCCTCTTGCTACCTTAAAAAGAACTGCCTATATTATCAGTTATAATAAAATTGAACAAAACAGTAAAGAATAAAACCAATAAAACCAAAACATTGGAGACGTTACAGGACTTGAAAAGAAGATAATAGTCAAACCAGAATGGGCATCATAGTGAATCTTACTGTCTTCACAGTTGTTGCCTATACTCTCAAACTTGGTACTATCAAGCAAAACAGAATACAGTAAAATCAGTCAAAACAAGATGGTGAGAGCAATACAGGGTTTCAAATCAAGTTAATAGGGAATCAAAGTGGGCTACTATAATAAATCCTGCTATTTTTTATTTATTTTTTCCCTTAATTAAAAAGATAAAAATAAAAAAAAATAAATAATAAAAAAAGAGATCGAGATAAAAGAGAACATAACAACAAAACAGCACAGGTCAGAACATAACTATTTAAGCAAAATAGTGTTTCACCACAAAATATCCCCACATAAAAGTAGTTACCATAGTGTCTCTTTCCTTGAAATCTTTGAGTATAACTTCGTATATTGTAGCATCAAACATATCAAGACAATGTAAAACCATTCAGGAGAATGACAGAATTACAGGGTATTTAGAACCAACTAACATAAAATGAACAATGGTTTCTGTATTATCTCCTTGTCTATACAAGTTTTTGTTTACATTATCACATATAATAAAATCCAATAAGATACATGTTAAAACCGATGGAGACAGAAGAACAAAAACTTGATGGGACTTCAAAACAAGATGATATTAAATCAGCAGTAGCTATTATGATGTAATATTCTCCTTTTCTAATTTGCTCAATTAATACTGGCTAAATTTATTTATTTTATTAGTACATTATGTGTTCCCAGTACTTAATGATTATTTATATTCATCATGGGAAGTACATGTCCATATCTTAATTCTACATTTAATTTAATTCATATAGAATGAGTTCCAAGAATTTAATACCAGTAGCTTATAATTTGTTGCTATGACATTATGTCTTTTACATGGGTGACTAATCTCTAAGGGAAAGCTTAAAATCATAAAAGCGTTGCTCTTGACAGTAAATGGAATCCTGGTGTTACACTAAGTGCCCAACATGCTGTGTGTGCATGTGTGGGCAATACCAAGCTACAAGAAGTATGATTTATATTTAAATCCAGTCATCAAGATTGATACTTACAGCCACTGAAGACCTTATAGTCAACAGGGCAATATTTTCTCAATAGGAAGTAATAATGGGCTGATCATCAAATGCAGAGTGGCACACCCTGCAGTGCTGCTGCCACTTTGGAACCTTCACATTTACTCTCTTACGGGCTGTTCATTGAAACCCAATGAAGACCACATGCCAATGGGACTGTTTCATTTGAAGAGTTTATTTGCTTTTAAAAAGTGGGAACAAATTTAGTGTACAAATGATACATCGTCCTTACTAAAATGAAAAAATTCCAGGCAATACCCTGCCTCCAAAAACCAAACCACACCAACCAACTCTTAGCGCTATACACGCTAATAAGTCTGGTTTATTCTCTGTCTCTATAAAATTGTTATTGGAGAAAGAAAGGCAGCAAGTCTCAGAGAGAGGCAGGAGAAAGAGTAGCAAAGAGCAACAAGAAAAATATAACAGGGATGTAGGAATTAATTTGTCTCATTAACTGATACACTTTCAGTTTCTCATACAAAGTCTGGGACCCAGCAGATAGGCAACATCAGTACTGACTGAACAAATGAATGAATGAGTAGTATTAAAGGTACTGCTAATTGCCTCTTGCTCTCCAATAATTTTTCTTTGTCTTCAGTCATGATCATATCTGTTTTTTTAAGATTTCCTTTCCAGTTTATACCCATTTCTCCTTTATTTAAATGTCTAAATTTCATGAAAGAGTGGTTTAAACCTTTTATTTCTTCTCTGTCATCACTTGGTTTCTGCAACTGTACTTTTAAAGGTTAGCACTAACTTCTAAACCACCATATCTAATGTATGTTTTTTCTCTAGTCCTTACATCTCTACAGCATTTCCTACTCACAAATCAATCTCTCTGATGAAGTTCTTGTCTCTCCTTTGCTCTTCTTCATCACGTTGACTACCCTTCTCCCTCGGATGAATCTTTGTCCAACCCTCTGTCACCTCATCTCGATAACTGCAAGCTGCTCTATCATTTTTTTCTAAATTTTCTCTTTTAAAACCTCATTTATTCCTGTGTATGTGCTGTACTCCTATAATCCCAGGTACATGGGAGGCTGAGCAGGAGGACTGTAATTCAAGCCCAGCATGATCCTGTTTCAAAAAAGAAAGGAAAGAAATAAAAACAAAGAAAATTCCAGGATGTGGCTGGGTTCAACCTCCCCTACCACACATTATGCACCAAGACTGGCGATGTAGGCCAGTGGTAGAGTGCTGGCCTAGCATATGTGATGCTCTGGGTTCAAACCCAGTCTGCCAAAACAAAATATCTCATTTGCAGCCACTTGTAGTGCGCTGGTGTGAATCTGTAGTCCCTCTGCTTGGAAGGTTGAGAAAAGATGCTTATTCAAGTCCAGGATTCCATGCCAGCCTGGGCAACACAGAGTTCCTAAAACCAAACCAAACCGAATCGAACCAAATAAAACACTGAAAGCCTCATTGGCTTGCCTCATTCAGGATTATCTCTATACAGATGATTCCCACTCCAGAATTCTTTCTTGAGCTTCATTACCCCTTTTTTATATGCTTCCTGGATGGCTTCAATTAGAGAAGCTCAGATCTTGCCCTTCACCAAGTATAAAACTAAACTCAGACTTTTTTCTCTTTCAGCCTTTGGGAATAGTTCATCCACCCATTCGACCAGGTCACCCATTCAATCACTTACACTTTGTAGAATTTTACGTGCTTCACATACATATCACTTTCTCTTTGGAACTGAACTGCTGTGTATTTTCTAGACCACCGCTACACCACAGAACAGCAGTGGTGAATCAAGGCACGTGTGCTGCAATGGGCTAGGTGTATCACTGAAAGCTCTAAACAGTTTGCCATCACTGCCATAGACATTTCTGCAATGATGTTAATGACAAATATGCTAACTATTAGTAATGTGTGACTCCTGAAAGGTTGAAATGTGGCTCATTAACCGAAAAACTACATTTTTATTTTTAGCTAATTCAAATTTACATTGTCATACAAGCTGGAACATGACTATAATTCCAGCATTAATGAGTCTAATACAGGAGAATCACTGTGCGTGTGAGGTCAGCCTGGCCCAAGGCCAGTCTGGAATACAAGGTGAGAAC